GAAGCTTAGATAGAGAAGATAAACTGCAAATACTTCATGGTTGGAATGCGTTTACCAATAAAGATGAGAGATTGTATGTAGTATAATCAGTTATCCTCACACACTTCAGTGAATGCCACCAGTTTAGTTCTGTGAGAGACACAGAAAACACTATTTCTCATGGATTTTCACCCTGACATGTGAGAACTGAGGACTTGTGACCATCTACAGTACAGAATCTAAATATAGCCACTCTCAGAGCTGCAGGTCAAACAATGGATAATGGATCTCGACTACCTGCATATTCCTCTCTCTGAAGGGGGACTTCCCAAAAAATGTGATGGTCACATGACTCATGAGGGCTTGCAGTTGATGCATGAGCTCTAAGATTCGGGTTTGGCGTGCAGAGCAAACGTGGTTCTCTGCTTCCTGCAGACCGCGTTGCAGATTCGCTGGAAACCAGAAGCACTTTAAGTTTCCACTGACATCCTGTCAAAAGAAGAAAACTCTCTCCCAGTCACCAGAAGGCTCTGAATGTGAATCTGATGATGAGATATTCCAAGTCTGCGAGGCTTTAATATGCAGTCTCTCCGCGGTTTCTGGGCCCAGCTGCTCTGCACATTAGCCTGATCTCTGAAAAACCCACAACCTGAACACGGAAAAGCTCACACAGTGTGTGTTTTCTGTCATGTCATGGTGACATTTAATGAGACCCAGATGCATTTAGATTCTCCCACCCCTTTTATAACTGATTACTCTTTAACCATCCTTATTTTGCAGACACATCTTGAACACCTATTCAGAAGAACTAATGCAAAAAAACTCAAGAGGAGTTGGTTTAACCCTTTAAAGCCTGATCCAAAAATAAAACAAAACAGAAAATTACTTTTTTTTTTGTTTGAATTCCTTATTTGGCCTTTTAACAAAATATGTAAAAAGAAAAAACTGAAATACATTTTTAATATTAATAATTTATTACTATGCGATAAGTCAAGATTATTTTTTGTGTAGTCTTCTGCCCCCTGTTATCAGGTATATCTGATTGTGTACAATAGGATTTTGTTTTTACGATTAAATTATGCAAACGGTGTCAGACGCAAAACATTTCAGAAACCATATGTATAAAAAATGATACATTTGGCATTACAGGGTTAAGGAAAGTTGATTATTTGATCAAAACTCCCATAATGCATTGGGTTTAGGAGAGAGCCTTCCAACAAAACTGAGGCTTTTTGAATAAGGGAGCATCCAGGATGCACAATGAAATATTCAGTTATGAGATTTCAAAACTCATGGAGTCCACAGAGTTAGCGGGTGTTTTTATTTTTAAGCTTGCTTTTTTTTTAAGCTGACTTTGCCCCTGGGTCTCAGTCGGAGTTCAGGCCGAGCAGCAGCGGAGGTTAATGAGTTGTTGTGAAGAGTTCCTCTGCAGCACAAACAGGCTGTGGAGAGGGCCACTCCACTCCTGAGCGCCCCCCCCCCTCAGCGTTTATTCCTGCGCAGGACAAAACAAGTCATTCTGCGCCCACACGCTTTCTGAGAGCTGCTCCCTCACAAGTGAGAGTTTGTGCTTTCGTTTTCCGTGTGACGCCCGGGTGGATGCGGCGATTTCTACCGAAACACAGGGGCTTTTCCCCCACAGGACGTGGTTGTGCTGCTCCCCCAGAGAAGCAAACAGAAGACTTTTGTGAAGAAAAAAAAAATTCAAGTTCAAGAAGCAGAAAGAACAGAAAATTGGTTTCAGTTAAACAGATAAAATATCAGTTCAGTTTCCAGAGGATTAAGTGCAATTGTGTTTAAATCCAATTTTCCACAACAAGAAATTCACATTTAACTGAGATGTTTAGATTTAAAAATAGATAAGAATGATTACACATGTCACAAGGTGGCAGAAAATCTGATCACGAACACCTGGAGCCTGGTTAAATGTGTTCAACAAAAACTAAATGTTTTTAAGCCTTAATATTGCCAAGAATTTAATCCTTTTACATGTGGAAAAAGCCTGTTATATTCCAGGATTGTTAATTTCATCGTCACCAGTTTGCACCTGCAGGAAAAAGTGAAAAGTGTCCGCCCTGCTTTCACTTATGTGATATTTAAACAAATCGAAAAGTAAATTAACCATGGATGTTGCTAATTTTATTCAACATATTTCTAAACGAGTTCAGAAAAGGATGTGACTAAATTCAATGAAAGCTCAAGTTTCTGACAGGATCATTTACAGTATGTTTTTGTCCCCCACAGATCCAGAAAGGTCAGCGGTTGGGTACCAGGGAGCCTAAATAAGGTCTAAAAACAGCAGATAAAGACCCAGAAAATGCAGATGATGAAGATGCATGGATTTAAAACGCTTATTAGAGGCGCACACAGAAGCCGAGCCTCTCGAGGAGAAGAACAAGCGGTGGTTTGATAAAGTTGTAGCATAACCCACACACTAGGCTGCGTGGCAGAAGATGGCAAAGCTTGTGATCACTGTTTACTCAGCCCCACTCCGACCAAACACTGCAGCCATTCATACCACGCCAACACGCTGGAAAACCAGACACACACTTTCAAGAATGTTGTATAAAGTTCGAAATCTGAACTTCACAGTTTGGTTTCCCTTTAAGGCAGAGGGAAGGAGAAAAGTCGTCCATCAAACTGTATCCTGGGCGGCTGACTGCCTTCAGCCGCTGACAGGACACCAGGTGACCCTCCGCTGGAATGTTTTTTTCGGGGGAAAGAGGGGAGGATATTTTCTACGGGACCTTAATGCCGCTGTAATCTCTGCCACTCCGGCACAAAGGGGCTTCTGTACCTTGGATGATGTGGAGGGAAAACTCCAGTAAACCGAGAGCGAGGTGTTCCAAGGACTGCAGGTGGGTAAACATCAGGCCCAAGTTCCGGGAACTTCAACCAGTTCAGAGTAAAACCAGAAGAGCAGTTTTTCCAGTACTAAATCTCTATATTGATGAGTGGCTGAAATGGCATTTATTCACACTTTCATGTGCAATCAATAAATCTACATCAGCCTAATTGATACTGATTAATGAATACTGATAAACTGTTGGACACTGAATCAAATCGAGCAGAATTTTTTTAAAAGAAAGCCACAAACAGGCCTGTTGCGCCCCAAAGGTGGAAACAGGTCAGAAGTAGGGAAATGTCTCCCCCTAGTGGCCGTTTGGGGACTGGCACGGCCCAGAAGGGTCACGTGTCTGCCGCTTTGGCCTCCCCAGGCTGGTGAGATCTCAAATGATTTTACTGTACACACACAGCCCACACAGATCAAGTGGTGTCTGATTTTTAAAAAGGCTTCCTTGTTCCATCGTCACACAGAAGCTCTTTGTTGACGGAGAGCTGGCCCCCAGAAAACAACAGACAGAGCTCCCCATGCAGACAACTTTAAACCCTTTTCTACGTAAAAAGCCCTGTCAAACTGACTGATTTATGTGTTTTCTCTCTCTTTTGATAAGTCCACTGAACTGATTTTGATTCCTTTTGTTTTTGTTGTCTGGCTTTTTTATTTAATTTTAATGTTTTTTTGTAAAAACCCTTTTTGTTCAAATCTGCCACAGGAATTAAATTGAGTTCAGTTGAATTTACTGTATTGATATGTCCGTCATCCTGTGTTCTTACCTAAATAAATCCTCATGATTTTAACCGACATAAGACCATTTCTGCAGAATATGTGTTCAAAATTATCAAATCTTCAGCTCTAACTGAAGAAACAAGCTTGTGTTTGGGGAAGTGTCTTCATAGTATTCCTATTTCACTTCCTGCTGCTCAAAGTTTTTGCTCATTTTGGCTGATTTGAAATTGAACATGATTCAATTTATAACAAATACCACTGAAATGTGTGGCACAGCTCAGAATTTCATGGGTTTACATGCAATCAAATCATTTGAATCTTTAGTTATATCTTCTAAACTGTTGTGGAAAAGCATGGAAACTTCTCACATGTTCCTATTTGTGTTCCTCAGATGGTTCAACTGGGTACAGGGAAACTGCAGAGAGTGGGAGGAGCTGCTGTGTCCAGCATGCTTCTGTTTGTGGTCCGGCTACATGTGGGTTGACGGGCCGTGGACGAAATGGAAGAGGACAGAAGACAGATGGGGAGAGGTGAAGACTCCTGACAGCAGGAGTAACAGGATTAGCACGGCTCAGCGAGCTCTGCCCTCAGCCTCTCACGTCAGCCCCTGAAACCTCACGGCTGAATTATGCAGGGCGGTTTTCACCAGGGATAAAATCACAAACTGTTTTTTCACACTTACATTGTCATGTTCACTTATGCGTGCATTTATTTGTCAAAATCCACTTTGATCTCTGGATAAAGCCATAGAAACACATCATTTTACCTTCTTCAAGAAACTAAGATTCAAACACTGTTACTATGACCGTAAAATTACACAAAATGTCACGGAAAACACTTTTTACTGGTAAAAATCATCATTTTTTAAAAGTTTTTCATTGTAATTGTTTGGTATTTCATATAAATGTCCACTGAATAAAGGAAAGTAACTGAAACAGAGTAGATTAATGAGCTGTTTATATGTTCCAGACGAAATAAAAAAGAAATGTCAGCTGTATACTTCAGTTTTTGTGGACCAGTTTGTGGATCTGTCTGTTTGTGGGTTCAGTTTCTTTTAAAAGCTAAGAGCTGGAAACACGATTTTAGCTAAAATAAAGGGATTCTTTCTCATCACACTGAATGTTCTCGGCGTGTCGTGGTCTGTCTCTGCCCCTGATGGGGAAACACCACCAAAATCTGGTAAAACACGTCGTGTTTCACCCAAAACTCTGTCACCTCAGCGTTTCTGCAGACCTGCTGGCCTGTATTCCTGTAAAGAAAGTTAATCTGTAAATCAGATTGGCAAAACTCAATCTCACTTTGAATAATAGTCTTGAAGTGGAAAGCCCCTCCACCATATGGGCCATCTGGGCCCTGGCACCACTGACCACTTTGAAATCCAGACAGGCGATAAGAGGATAATGCCCTGGGTGTGTGTGTGTGTGTGTGTGTGTGTGTGTGTGTGTTAATCTCTGACTCAACACGTTCCTGGTTCAGCAGGTCAGTGCGCGGACTGGAGGCGGCACGGGACGCACACGGCTCTGCTTCTGGGTGCTCGCGAACTTCCTGTTTTTCGGAGAAAACTGGAGAAAATGGCAGCCATGTACCGGTCGGCCTCCCTGGGAAACAAAGAGCTGGCGGCTGTGTATGAAGCTGGAGGAGACGAGGACAGCGTGGGCGAGGTGGGATAAAACTAACTCCTTTACTAGGTCACTATAATAAAAATTGTACATTGAAGCGTAATTGTTTGTGAAAAACCTTTGTTTTATGCATCATTTAACAGATGTAAGATAACATTTTTAAATGCTATCAGCAGCCCGTCACAACGACATATCACATAGTTTGTTTTCCCTATAAAAACACCAAAGACAGCAAAGTTTGACAGATAGAAGAATGTGTTCTTAGCCAAAAACTCAGCATATCTCAGTACGGTGTGCTGTGTGTCCTTAAAAGATTTGAGGAAACTGGATGAGTAGAGGACAAAAGAAGAAGATTTGGGCCTGAAAACTATTTCCAGCAGATGTAGAGGATCTGAAAGTGATTTCCTTAAGAAAGAGGAACAGATCCAGCCTCATCAGAAAAGCTCTCCATGAAGGGGGAAGGAAACAGGGAGGAGGAAAGGCTGAACCAGAGCCAGGGGAGCCAGAAGTGGACTGAACCCCTGCAGCTCTGATGGAGGGATGGATCCTCCAGATTATAAAGCAGTGTGGGATCATCTGACAGAAAACGGACGTAGAGCTGTTCTCAGAGTGATTCTCACAGTACTGAAACACCAACCCCACAGCAGCAGACCGGCAGTAAAAGCGGAACATTGACTTTATTTGGTTTTCAGTGATGGAAACCACCTCATTTGAACTTAAAAAAGCAGCTATGTCATGACTTATCTGCTTAAAGAAACCTGATATGGAAAGCTGCTTCCTAATAAATGCTCATTTCCCTTGTTGCCATGAACTAATTAGGTAATCGGGTTTAATTACACTTGAACAGTGTTTTAAACCTTTTTGTTGTCCAACTTTTCCATTAAAAACCTGTTCACAGGAGCGGTTTAATTACACTTGAACAGTGTTTTAAACCTTCTTGTTATCCAACTCTTCCATTAAAAACCTGTTCACAGGAGCCAAAAAGTGCTCTGCAGACCCATTATAGACAGAAACGCACCAATCGTTAAACACGCCTCCTCCTTTTGGCCCCTTCCCTCTCTCCAGGAGTGCGACGTGGACTCGGAGAGCAGCGAGGAGGGGAAAGGCGGCAGAGGCGTGCGCAGCTCTCTGTCCCTGGAGATCTACGGCCTGCACCGGGAGCAGCAGGTGTTCTTCTCCAACCAGGAGTACTACCGGAGGCTGGAGGAGCTGAAGAGCACCCACCTGAGGAACGTGGCCGAGCTGGAGCGGCTCTACATCAGCCAGGGCACCGACCGGCCCCGGGGGGACGGGGAGGGGGGCCCCAGGGGACCCGGGCAGGCCTTCAGGTGGGACCACACGTCTAGTTCATGTCACAGTGATGAGAAATGTAATATTGTGTCTACTCTGTAAGTCGCTTTGGATAAAAGCGGCTGCCAAATGCATAAACATAAACATAAACATAGTTCAGTGTTTTCCAACCACTGGGCCTCGGTACACTAGTGATGGTCAGGTGTGCCGTAGAAAATCATCCTATTTCACCTAATTGGTCTAAAAAGATTGATGAGTAATTAATTATCTGCAAATAATATGCCATTTTTGAGTGTCTGTGCTTAACTAGTGACTGGTGGCGTAATCATGTAATGATTCCTTATGACTAGATTTTATATATATTTTGTATATTGAAGTGGACATGTTAAGTACAGTTTGAAAGAAGAAATACAAAATATGATAAAAATTGAATTCCTATTCAAGACACTTAAGATTAGATAAGAATAAAATAAGAATAACTATAGTGTTACTATAGGCGGCTACAGATTTGTTTAACATTTTTGGTTGGTGGTGATCCTCGAGATTTTTTCAATGAAAAAATGTACCTTGGCTCAAAAGAGGTTGAAAAACACTGGTCTAGTTATCATCGATAGTCACCGGGCACACGTTCCAATCATTGTGCTAACAGATTTGACATTTAGATTTACGCTTTAGATTTGAGCTCTACATGTTTACAAGTAGCTATAGTTGTAATTTGATCTTAAATGGGGGGAAATATTCTTGATATGCAGAAACTGAGACCCCTCGACGGTCCCTGTCCTGCCGGTTTTAGGGATTTCCATGATTCAACACGTGATTTAAGATAAATCTCTTTAGTAATTAAAGAGGGTTCAAACAAGGAGGAAAAGGTGCATAAGTATAAATAATAAAAATAAATAAAAGTACAAGGAAGATAAAAATACTAGGAAGATTTAATCTAATTTAGATAAATTATCTCTCTTGAAGAGATGTGAATGTCTCCACAAGCCTGCCATTACAACGATTTAAATCAGAAAGCATCTAAAACCCAACGTTGAGACCCCTGCTTTGACTTATATCTGAGTATTTATATACAGACTAGACGTAGACTTAGACTGTACTCTATTGATCCCTTGGGAAGACTCCCTCAGGAAATTAAGGTTACCAGCAGCTTACAGGGCAAAAAAGTAGCACACAGAGAGCAAAATTAAGCAAAAAAACAGGCAAAGAATAAGAATAGAAATACAACGTGAAAATTAAGACCCCTTAGAAAATCTAGGAGTTTGGCGGATAGATTGACCAGTGATATGGTATTGCACTATGTGGTTTGGCCTGATAAATATGAAGTTCACATTTTACAAAAAAAATACAAGTGTTGCTGGTCCTACATGTGAAAAAAGCAGATTTATTCTCAGTTGACCAAACAAAAGCAATTTAGACTCCAGTAATAGCTTTCGAAATGGTCAGAAATGCTAAAAAGACCCTCCTGTTTGGCAGTGGTTCTGCGAGGAGGCTGCAGAGAATCAACTCCCAGGAGGAGCTGGACTTCCACGAGTTATCGAGCGGCTCGGATTACTCTGAAGCTTTCGGGGAGGACGGCCTGGGGGAGCTGGACTGGGCCCCCAGGCAGGAGCGGATATTCCAAAGGTTCGTTAAAGAAAGGTTAATAACTAAATAAGAATAACTATAGTGTTACTACAGGCGGCTACAGATTTGTTTGACATTTTTGGTTGATGGTGTGCCTCGAGATTTTTTCAATGAAAAACTGTACCTTGGCTCAAAAAAGGTTGAAAAACACTGCAATACAATAAGCCATTCTCCTTCTTTGTTTAGAGACGACAGGAGGAGCCCGGAGCCGAGGTCCAGCCGGGCGGCCTTCAGGTCAAAGGTCAACAAGGCCTCCTGCCCGAAGACGCCGGCGAGGGCCTCGCGGGTCCGCGGCGCCATGGTTACCGTGCCGCAGCCCTTCCGGATGACGCTGCGGGAGGAGGAGCGGAGGAGGCGGCGGGTGCGCACGCGGTCGGAGGTGGAGCTGGAGAACTCGCTGCTGCGGCGCGAGCTGGAGGAGCTGCGCGAGTGCCGCAAGCAGTTCAGGGCCACGCCGGCCCCCCCGCACACCCGCCTGCCGCTGTACGGGCGGGGGGGCGGCGGTGGCGGGCGGAGGGGCTCGCCGCAGCCCTTCAGCTTCCTGGAGAGGGAGAGGAGGAAGAAGGAGGCCAAGATGGCCGCCGAGCTGGGCGCCCGGGGCCAGAGGGAGGAGCGCCAGGCCTTCAGGGCCCGGGCGGCGCCCGGCGGGCCGGGGGCCGTCGCCCGGCAACGGGCCGCCCGCCACCAGCACCCCCCCCAGCAACACCCGGCCCGCCCCCCCCCCCTCCGGGAGGCCACGGAGGGCCAGAGCGAGCAGAGCTCCGACCCGGAGCAGTCGGACTCCTCCTCAAACTCCTCCTCTAGCTCCCACCGGGCGGTGAGGAGGCAGATAGAGCTGTCCATCGAGATGGTCAAGGAAAGGAAGGGACCTCCGCTGACACGCTGGGGGGGGCACAGCCTCTCAGCGTGTGAGAGGTTGGCGGGAATAAAACCCCCAAAGAGAGACAAAAGCAGAAGCAGCAGCAGAAGCTGTGACACGGCTTAGTTAGAGATGTTTGTGGTTCATACAGCAGAGACACATGACCTGTAACTCTGTGTTCCTCACAAATAAACCTAACCACCCATTTTTAATCATGGCTCTCATGTGTTGGCATTTATTTCCTCGCACCAAAGGATTCGGCAGCAGGCGGCAGTATAGGCGCTCTTGGAGAGCAGGAGGAAGCTATCTCTAAATATGTCCATGACTATCTCCCTCTGTGACGCAGTAGGAAATAACTGGATAGTAATAATTAACCTCAGATATTTGTAAGTGCGCAATGCGCCCCTGGGTACTACAGAGGGACGGCGTTTGGACACTTTTACTGGATGGAATGTGATAGTGTTGTTAAAAGAGTGGCGTTATCCTGTTGACCCTGTTCTGGGTCTCTCCCAGCTGTTCCCCACCATGGAGGTTGAGGAAGCCTCCAGACCCACCTCATCGGACCCAGCTGCAGACATTTCACTCCCATCCCCCCCTCCTCACCTGGACCCTGTTCCTGCTTGTGGTCCTGGGGATAGTGGGGGTGGTCTGGAGGAACAAAATCATCAGATCCATCGCTCTCAAAGGCCAAGCCGCCATGTATGGCGAGTGGGTGGTTCAATGAGTGCAAAAATTGTTGGACAGCTTTTGAGTTTAAATTGAGCCTTTGAAATAAATGAGGGCAGCTGTTTGTTACTGTTTAAGCTAAGTTAAGTTAAAAGTAAAAAAAAAAAAAAACTTGAGAAATAATGCTTCAATTGCCTTACCTACTTGTGCTACTTCTATTAGTTGAGAATAACTTGAGTACACAGAGAAGTTAATTTGGTAATTTGGCTGATCGCTAGTTCAAGACTTTGGAATAAGTCATAGCCTGATATATGTTTAATGGGTGTTTTTCATGCCTTTTTCAGGATTCATTTTCCTCTACTGTAATATATGCACGTTAATCAAGCGGACTGCTATATGTTTGCATTTGCACTGAGAAGCTGCACATTTTGCTGATACCCTCCTTGCAATGGACCGCTAGTTATACTGAGTCCTCAAGAATGGGCTGAAACAGATGAGGACTTCATGTATATGCGAGCTGATGTGTGTTCTCGTGCTGGAGTGGCTCCTTTAAGGAGCAGTGCGCATGTGCAGACGTAAGGTGCGTGTGCTTGAGTGAGAGAGAGAGAGAGCGAAGGGAGACTGTACGAGTGCGATGTTGGATGGCTAGTTCAGCAAGATAGTTATTACAGAGGTAAACAGTAGTGATGGCGAGATGAAGCTTCATAAAGCTTTGAAGCGTTCCATCCAATTGGTTCACTCCTGTATTGAAGCTTCAGGGTGCTTCATTTGCTCTATGGTGCCATCAAGAGGACAATAAATGTAAAACGTACAGCATGATTCTAATGAGACTCTGGCTTTGGTGTCTGAAGCATTGAATGAATTAATCAATGATGTTTGTGCTGCTGCCGTTACCTTAATGGACGGATGGATGTTTGTGATGCTTATACATAAACTATCAACTTTTATACTGTGTCTGTCTTTATGATACAATGACAGGGAAGCTTGAATAAATCGCGAACACACTCTAAATTAAGTCCCAAGTCCACAAAATGTTAGGGGGGATTCATTGCATTTAGCTGGCCCTTACTGTATATTTCAAATAGACGGCCAAACCGCCAACCACTTCCTGAATCAGTCACGTGGTGTGGCCGGTGTGCGCGGCTTCAAACGTCACCACATACGTCACCGTCGTAAGGCATATAAATACGCTCTTCGCAGTAGTCATCCTGGATTTCTCGACACGCGCTTCGAAGCCTCGGTACGGAGGGACACATCACTAGTTCAAGCTAACTTCGGCCCTGGAGGAAACTCTTGTGCTTCCCGACTACGGTCTGGGAGCAGAGCAGGAACGGCTAACGGTGTCAACAATCCACGAAAACAGGGGACTACCGGGCGAGTAGTTCATATGCTGCATTCCCCCTGCGGAATCCTTCACCTGCACATCTCCATCAGAAAAACCGGATTAAGTTCCAGAGCCAATGAAGTGGCTCTCTATTTTATGTGAGTATGATGTTTTATTTTATTTTATTTTATTTTATTTTTTATTTTTATTTTTTTTACACGGACGTCTAAATCCAGACATTCCAAC